TTTTCTGTATGTACTAGCTTTGAAGGTCACTTGAGGGGCCCCAACCTAGCGGACTTAAGCCTCCCTTTTAGAGTGCCTTTTCTCCTCTGCCCCATGTGCGTCCCCCCAGTGCTGTGTGGGAGCCCACTCCCCAGCTGGAGGCTCCCCGTGCCCCAGGGAGACGGTGGACAAGGGGACTGTGCATGTATGATGGAACGTGACAGGATGGGGCTGGTGGGCGCTGGGGCTGGTCAGGAACATGGCTCTCCCCGTCAGAGCCTCTGGGGGTCACCTGCTGTCCACTCCTGGAGCTCAGCTCCTCTGCTGTGAGTCCACCTGGCTTGAGAGGATGGAGCACGTGAACTCTTGTTTCAGGGGCCTCCACTGTCTCCCCTCCAGCAGCAGTGATGCTTCCCCTTGGTCCACGGACGGGGAAGGGCTGTTCAACTGGGGTACAAGCCCAGGAACAGTGCAGAAAATGCACGGCAGGGTGAAGTGAGTGCCCCAGCCTCTGAGTTTGTATGTGGGTGGGCAAGCCTGGCCCTGAGGGCCGTGTTGGTGTGCCCTGGAGGCCATCAGGTCTGCTCCTCCCTCATGCCTCTGTGACCAGCTCCACCCGGCTCTCCTCATCGACATGTAGGCCTGATGCAGCTGGAACGCTGGTTCCTCACTGCTGCTGTTATTATGTGCCATCGTACCAACTACGACTCACAGGGATCCTACAAACAACAGATCTGAACCCCGCTCTAGCCTGCACCATCCCCACCACCCCTGATACGCTGAGCCCACAGTGCAGTCAGGCCTTCCTCTCTCACTCTGACACACACACACACACACACACACCCACCCAAGCGCCTCTCTCAGCATGATGTCTTTCTCCAAGGACTGACCCCTCCTGACATGTCCAACGTACTGAGCTTTGCCATCCTTGCCTCTCCGGACCACCCTGCCTGCACTCCACAGATAGGCAGGCCCACCGACAGTGAGAAGGTGAACAGGACGCCCTGGAGGAGGATACCTCTGACCCACAAAGCCTCCCGGACCCTGTGTCCTGCCTTCTCCGAGTTCTGACTTTTCAGATGCCCTGAACTGTGGTGGCTCAGAGCCACTGTCCAACCTGAGTTCCCCAGATGGGTTCACTCACCTGCCTTTATCCCCAAGCGCCAGGCCTCTGGCTGGAAGAGGGGTCCTCCCAAGTCTTTCCCTGCTGCACCCTGTACCCACTCTAATTAGTTCCAAGTACCAGGGCTATTGTTGAAGGGTGGGGTGGTGATGAGCGACAAGGTCAGGGGCCACGCGGACCTAGGGTAGGTCAGTGCAGCCTGGTCCTGTATGGCTGAAGGCCGGATGGGATCCTAGCAACACAGCTCTGATATGTCCATCTCCACCCCCACCGGGAACTTTGCAAATCCCTTGCCATTGGAGCCAGGGAGAATTTGACCACTGAAGAGTTTATGAGCTGCCTCACAGGTGGCGACACAATGAGCTGCAGGCACGAAGGGGCTGGGGCCCTCTGGGCAAGGGTCAGTGCGAGCGCCCCCGGGGAGCCCTGTCCTTCCAGCCTGGACCGGTGCTCACAGACTAGCGCAGACTCTCACGCCTCCGGGACACCTTCGCAGGCCCACTGCAGCTCCGGGTGGGGGTGGAGGGCGCAGGAGGAGGGGCACCAGGGACGCGGGCCCAGTGTGGGGGGCGGGTCCCAGGCGGGGGGCCCGGATCGGGAGCCGCACACCGGGCGCGGGCGGCCACGGAGTCCAGCGCAGTGGCCATGAGTTCCGCAGCTGAGCCCCGGACGCCCCGGACACCCTTCAGCATTGCAGACATCTTGGGCCCGCGCAAGGTCCCCCGGACACAGCCAGAGCCGGGTGCTGGCCGGGCGTCGCCGCTGTGTGCGCTGGAGGAGATGGCGAGCAAAATCTTCTGCAGACTCGACGGGCGCGCCCCTCAGTCCCCTGAAGGTACAGCGGCAGCTCTGAGCTGGCCCTCACCCATCCCCACCTCTCCAGGCTCTGAACTTGGTGCACCCGGGCCTGACGCCCGACTCGGCGTCAGCTCCTCAGTCTACTTGCGGGGCCTTGTCCCTGAGCTTCGTTGTGGTTGCTCCGGCACCACCATCGCTCCGGGAGGCCATCAGCGCTGTAGTGAAGGGCCAGCGCAGGGGCCGGGAGTCCTAGTTTTGTTCCCTGTAGGTGGGGCAATCGTGACCAAAGCCAAAGACAAAAGGTTCAAGCCTGGGGCGGCAGGCCAGATAGCCGGGGAGCTGCGCTCCAAGCGCTGGGGACCCGCTTCCAGCCTCTTCTGTGCCCGCTCGCTCCGCTCCAAGCGCTTCATCCCCGGGGGCGCAGGAACAGCTTGTCTTCGCGGTGCTCGGGGCCCGGGTCTCCCAATCAGCCCGTTCGCGCCCTTTTTCTCCCCACTGTCCCCCTTTCCGGCCAGAAGAGAGGTGCAGCGTCAATAACCAAGTGCCTGGGGTGGCAGAACCCTCAGGCACATGAGGGTTTTGTTTCCCTGTTACCCCCGGCGTACGGGGCCAGTACCTCTCTTCCTGCCTTACAGGCCGGCTCGGCTGGGGGCCCAGACCGCCAGATTCCGCTTTGGCCTCTTCTCATTCCCCGCCATCTGGAAGGTGCCCCGGGCCTGCTGCTTTAGGCCCCTAGTTCCTACCACCTGCCCTGTGCGCCGGGCCCTCCTCGGTCAGCCCCTGGGTGGCCGTGAGGGACGTTGGTCGTGGCTGTCCCAGCCCCTGGGAGCCGTCCACCTACGGCTCTCCCCCGGACCGCAGCCGCGCGCTTACCTCTCCTCTCCTCACAGGCCGCGCCCCCGGCACGCTGAGAGCGGGCGCCGCGGGGCGCAGACGGCGCCGGGCGCGCACGGCGTTCACGGCGCAGCAGGTGCGGGAGCTGGAACAGCGCTTCGGGCTGCAGAAGTACCTGGCGCCGGCCGAGCGGGACGGCCTGGCGGCGCGCCTGGGCCTGGCCAACGCGCAGGTCGTCACGTGGTTCCAGAACCGGCGCGCCAAGCTCAAGCGGGACGTGGAGGAGATGCGCGCGGACGTGGCCTCCTGGCGCGCGCTGCCCACGCGCACCGCGCGCCGCCTCCTGCTGCCCGGCGTGGCCCCGGACCCCCGCGCGGCCCCGCCAGACCCCGGGCCGCCCCTGTCGGACGAGGAGATCCAGGTGGACGATTGATTCCCGGGTGAGTGGGTGGGGCTCTCCCCAATTGGCAATCTAGACCCTGGCCTGCCCTGAGTGGGGAGAATAAAACCGGGACTCCCGCGGGCTGCTCCATCCTGACGCCTGGAGCCAGGAAAAGCAGAAGTGGCTGCTTGTTGAGAGAACGTTCAGTCGGACAAGGGGCCAAGCGCTCTCGGAACCCGGTGGTGTCCTTGACTTTCATACCCCCAACGCAGTGCTGTGCCATCTGTTTTGCGACGCAGCACTGCAGCGCAGGAGGTCCTGAGGTGGTTTCCAAGGCTGTGGTCGTTAAGGGAGCAGAGTGCCCCCCACAGATAGGCCCTGGCTGGGTTCCTGCCCACCCTCCACCAGCCGACCTGGCCGAGGTCTCAGCTAATGCTGCCGTCGTTATAATAACGTAGGTTGTTGCACTTGGCTACCACAAGGTCAGAACTAACAGCTGACCCTCCTTCCAGTGGGCTGTATAATCACACAGGAGGAGATCGCCCTTCCTTCATCAGAACAGCTGGTGGATGCGAACCTGGGAGTGGCAGCGCGGAACTCCCCGAGATGGAAGCAATGATGCTTGTTTTACAGAGAAAGAGCACAGAGGTGGGGCTTCTACTTCAGACACTAGACATAGGATGTACGAAATGCAGACTGGTGGTGGCCTGCGGCAACTTGCTCTGTTTGGTCACAAAGCTCTGGGTCTTTGGAATGCAGTTCCTGGGGTTCCTTACACCTGCCCCCTAGGCCATTCCGTGCTGCAGGGTTACACCTGGCTCTTTGTCCTGCATTGACAGGAGTCCAGACCCTTCTCCCTACCCAGACCCAACAGACCCTGAGCTGAAAGCTCGGCGAATGGCCCGCCCACCTCTCCTTGTGTGACAGCCTGCATCTGTGAACCTGGACCAGCAGCATGGAGGGAGGGTGGCCATGCCTGACCCACTGAGGTGGACCTGGGAGCAGCAACTTTGCAGGTGGAGACACCAGCCTAGCTCCAGGACAGACACGGAGACTCCTGTGTTCCCCTGCAGTATGCACAGGGGGATGGAGAAGCCCTGAGGACTGAAGGATGGTGTCTTCTGACACTTCTGAGAATCTTTGGAAGATCGAACTTAGGCAGGATCTGCTTCTCCTCTTTCTCTGTCAGTGTGTCTGTGCTCCTCAGACCCAGCCATCTGTCTGAGTGTCCCAAGCCAGATATCAAGGATGCTCTGGGAATAAGCCACTATGTTTAAGAATAAGCTAGTACAGCGAAGGCCTCAGTTACAGTGGGAAGCCCAGCTGTATAAGGCTGCAAGGCAGAGGGTAACCTGGGCCCAAACATTGAACCCGGTAAGAATGAATGACAGAAAGCTGAATGAGCCAGGTCAGGCCACTCAGCACAGCATGGTCGTCTGGTTCAGGAGCCCACGGGTGTGGTCCTGCTTCCCATAATGTTGACTGGAGTCCAGAGATCACGGAGAGAGAAGAAATGGCTGAAGGTAAGAAATGGGGCATAGTACAGTGGACTACAGCCTTCAATATGGATTGAAGCTCAACATCAGGAAGACAAAGAGTCTCACCAGTGGGCCGGTTGGCAGCATCATGATAGATGGTGACGAGATTGTGATTGTTGACAAATTCCGTTTGCTTGGCTCTACAGTCAAAACTCTTGGTATCAGTAGCCAGGAAATTAAAAGACAAATTGCATTGGAAAACTCTGCTATCAGAGACCTCTCCAAAATACTGAAGAGCAATGGTGTCACTCTGGAGACTCAGGTGCACCTGATACAGGCCATGGTCTTTGCAATTACTTGCTATGCATTAGAGAGCTGGACAATGACTAGGGGTGATAGAAGAAGAATCAATGCCTTTGAGCTTTGGTACTGGAGAAGAGTATTGAATGTACCATGGACTGCTAGGAGAACAAACAAGTTCATCCTGGAGAGGGTTAAGCCAGGTGGCTCCTTGGAGGTAAGGATTCTGAAGCTTCGTCTGACATACTTGGGACATGTTGCAAGGAGGGACCAGTCCTTGGAGAGGGACGTCATGCTTGGGAGTGTGGAGGGACAGCACAGAAGAGGAAGAACCTTGATGAGATGGATTGATTCAGTCACTGGGTTAATGGGGATGGGTGTGTCGGAGACAATGGAATTGACAAGGGATAGAGCAGGATTTAGGGTTGTTATACATAGGGTTGCTATGAGTCTTAAGCGACTTGACAGCACTTAATAATAACAACAGTGCAAACAGTGAGCTTGAGGAGTAAGGTGTGTCTGATTCAGGCCAGGGTCTTTCTGATCACTTTCTATGCCTCTGAGAGCTGGACAATGAATACGGATAACAGAAGAACTTACGTCTTTGAGCTGTGTGCTGAAGAAGAATACTGAACACCCCATGGAACAAGCCAGTATGTTCTGGAGAGAGTGTAGCCAGAGTGCTCTTTGGATGCAAGAACGATGGGGCATTCATTGTGAATCCAAGGAAATAAAGACTCCTTTTTTTTTTTGTAACTGAATGTTTACAGAGCCTTTGGATTTCCATTCATTCATTATTGCACACTTTCCTCCCTTTCCACCCCTCCCCCTCAATGCACTTTTCTCTTTGAAAAGTAAAAAAAAATAATTAAAATTCTTTCATTGTCATACAACACCCCCACCACTCCACTCCATCAAGCAGCTTTCATTCTGGACCCTTCAGTATTTTCTCCATTTAACATGATGTTGCTGATTGATCCCGTTGTGAGGGTTTCGGTTTGCCACGCCATGCAGGCTGGAGTCTTGGATCTTTATCAGTAAATGTGTCAAATTCTCCTCCTCTTTCACTAAGGCTGTGTCATCCACGTGGTGCATGCTATTAAGGAATCTTTGGCCAATGTTTGTGTTGAGTCCTTTTTAATATAGTGTAGCTTCTTGGATAATCTTCTTTAGCACATGAATTTAGGAAGTCTAGAGAAGAGCAATGATGTCAGTCTGGAGACTAAGGTGCGCCTGATACAGGCCATGCTCTTTGCAATTACTTGCTGTGCATCAGAGAGCTGGACAATGATGAGGGATGATAGAAGGAGAGTTAATGCCTTTGAGCTGTAGTGCTGGAGAAGATAATTGAATATACCATGGACAATTAGGAGAACAAACAAGTTTGTTGGTGAAGTTTGAGGCTGAAGCCAGGCTGCTCCTTGGAGGCAAGGATTCTGAAGCTTCATCTGACATACTCTGGACATGTTGCAAGGCGGGATCAGTTCTTGGAGAGGGATATCATGCTTGGGAGGGTGGAGGGACAGCACAGGAGAGGAAGACCCTCGATGAGATGGATTGATTCAGATACTGGGGTAATGGGTGAAGGTGTATCGGAGACAAGATTGGCAAGGGACAGAGCAGGGTTTAGGGCTGTTGTACATAGGGTCACTATGGGTCGCCGGCGACTCAACGGCACATAACACAACAATAATGAAAGGATACTAGCCCCTCCGCGTGTCTGTCTGCTGTCCACTTGTCTGTCTGCTGTCCACTTGTCTGTCTGCCGTCCACTTGTCTGTCTGCTGTACTCTGGTGGTTTGCATGTCACTGTGGAAGCGATGCAGTAGCTATCACAAATATCAGCAGGGTCACCCATGGTGGTCAAGTGTCACTGGAGCTTTCAGATGAAGAAAGGTTGGGAATGAACTAGTGGTCTGCTTCTGGGAGGAGCTGGCCCGTGAAAACCTTGCGGATGGCAGCAGACCTCTTATGACCCACAACCATTTCCTGTCTGGCCTGTCTCCCCACTTACACTCCACTCATACCCATCGTCATCGAGCTAGAACATAGAGCTGATCCCCCACCAGGCTTTCAGAGGCTGTAAATCCCACAGGAGGGGAGCTCACACCTTCCTCCCCTGCGGCAGCTGGTAGATTCACGCTGCTGAGAGAGAGGCGGCCTTTGGGTTAGCTCAGCACCTCCACAGGGAGTGTGTCACCAGAGTTAATATTGCTGTGAGCAACCTACGTACAGCAGCTCTGCAGCCTGCCCATTCCGAGCCAGTCTGTCTCTGACACACTTGCCCCGTAACCCCAGTCACTGTGTCTGTCCATTTCATCCAGGGTCTTCCTCTCCTGTGCTGTCCCAAGCATGATGTCCTTCTCTAAGGACTGGTCCCTCCTGGCCACGTGCCCAAAATACGTGAGACAGAGCTTCAAAATCCTTCCCTCCAAGGAGCAGCCTGGTTTCACCCTCTACAAGACAGACCTGTTTGTTTTCTTGGCAGTCTATGGTATGTTCAGCACTCTTCTCCAGCACCACAGCTCAAAGGCATCTATTCTTCTGTCATCCTTAGTCATTGTCCAGCTCTCCAATGCCTTGCAAGTAATTGTGAAGACCATGGTCTGAATGAGGTGCACCTTAGTCTCTAGACTGCCACTGTTGCTCTTCAGTACTCTGGAGAGGTCCCTGACTGCAGATTTTCTCAATGCAATTCACCTTTTGAGTTCCTGGCTCCTGGTACCAAGTGTGTTGACTGGGGAGCCAAGTAAACTAAAGCTGTTAAAAATTCCGATCTCTTCTCCGTGATGGTGCTGTCAATTGGCCAGTGGTGAGAATCTTTGTCTTCTTGATGCTGAGCTTCAATCCATCTTGAAGACTATAGTCTTTGAGGTTCTGCAGCAAGTGCTTCTGTCCTCCTTAGTTTCAGCAAGCAAGGTTGTGTCAAGTTAATATTAGCTGAGTTGGTTTTGTGTGGTTTTTTTTCACTGAATTACACCTGTATCTATACAATATTTTTTATTGTTGAGGGGGCATGTCTGCCTGTCCAATATATTGGTAAATGAAGTTGAAATAAAATTTGTTTTCCACATAATTACAGAATACGAGCCATAAGAATCTATAGGGATTTGAAATGCTCCCTATTTTAGTTGTTTCGTATTTTTTAATAAAAACGACAAAAACATGCCAGTTTGCTCAAACTAGTCATCTTTAGTATATGTTTCTGAGACCCAGAGCCAAACTCCAACTGTTAAACATACATAAGAAGTCATTTGGATTCACACCTATGTTTATTTCGGCTTTGTTCACAAGAGCAAAGAGTTGGAAACAACCCAGGTGCCCATCAACAAACGAATGGATAGAGAAGCTGTGGTATATTCATACAATGGAATACTATGCAGCACTGAAAAACAAGGAACTCATGAAATATTATACAAAATGGGTGACCCTGGAGGACATTATGCTGAGTGAAGTAGCTCAGTCACAAAAGGACAAATGCTGCATAGAGCCATTATTGTAAAACGGACGGGACTGACCTTGAGGTTGAGGGGATACTAAGAAAGAGGGGATAAATTATGTATACTGCATTGAAACAGATGAGGGAGAGAACTGTTTAAAAGGGATATATGATTAGGTATTGTCATGACAGGAGTCTAGAATGAGGAGGGATTGTATAACAATGAAAGAATTTTTCTTTTACTTTTCAAAGAGAAGAGTAAATTGGGGGGGAGGGAGTGAGCAGGGAGAAAAGTGCAACAATGAATGACTGGAAACCCTAAGTCTCTGTAAACTTTCATTAAAATTAAATTTTTTTAAAAAAGAGCGACGCTATCACAAAAAAAGAGAGGAAATAATTTGGTTCAATTAGCAATTGGAAAATAAAAATTCTTCCCACCATACAGCTCATATTTCTTATACTCCAGACAGACTCATATGTATTGTATAACTTCACTCACTTCAGATCATAGTAATTAAGCTTGATCAACCCGAAGGAATACACCTTGTACCCCTCAACATTAATATTTAAAGTATCAACAAGAAAGGGTCTTAGACCAACCTGTTTGGTGTCATTGAGTCCGCGAGGGCTCATGGTGACCTGTGAACAACACACCTGAGCGGGGACCTGTCCTGCACTGTCCTCATCATCTCTGACATACTGCAGCCTGTTGCTATGGTCACTGTGTCAGTCCATGTCACTGAGGGTCTTCTCTTTCTCTGGCTCCCCAGCTTTCTCAGCTTTCATGTCTTTTAGACGCACCTGGGATGAGCAAAGAGCTCGTCAGGTAATTCTAGTTACGAAGGTAGAGCTCACTCGAGTTCATTGTCTCTGAACTGTCACCCCACCCCACTTGTTGTTGTTATGTGCCCTCGAGTCGCTTGCGACTCATAGCGACCCTATGTACAACAGCTCTAAACTCAGCTCTGTCCTGTGCCAATCTCACTGTCTCCAACACACTCATCCCAATTGCCCCAGTCACCAAATCAATCCACCTCCCAGAGGGTCTTCCCCTCCTGTGCCTGCCCTCCACCCTCCCAAGCATGATGTCCTTCTCCAAGGACCAGTCCCTCCTTACAATATGACCAAAGTATGTCAGATAAAGCCTCAGAATCCTTGCCTCCAAGGAGCAGCCCGGTTTAACCCTCTCCAGGGTTAATCTGTTTGTTTTCTTAGCAGTCCATGGGACCCTCAATACTCTTCTCCAACACCAAAGCTCAAAGGCATCAATTCTCCTTCTATCCTTCCTGGTCATTGTCCAGCTCTCTGACTTGAGGTTTCAAGAATTCTAGGTCTGCACTGCTATGTTTTAAAAACAGTATTTTATTTCCTGTTTGCTGAAGGTTTAACAGCAAATAGTGTTGACAGTTTACATACACATTGTTCAGTGGTGGTGACAGTTTTGACCGTGTATTAACGTCTGCATTGTGTTCTGTTTCCAGCACCCTAGTTTCCCTGCCTCCCTGTCACTCATCTTTGCTGTAGAGTAATTGCTGACCTTATGGTCTTACATAGATTTTTTTTTCTCATGTGCTCAGGGATAATATCCTTTATTCCATGTGCCAATCTGTTAATTTCACTAAAATGTGCCTTTAAGGGATTGTTTCGGTTCACGTTCTAAAGAGTATCTCAGGGCAGTATCAGGAATGGTCAGAACGGTGCAGGCCAGGACAAGGCTCAGATCTGTTGTTTGTAGGGTCGCTAGGAGTCGTCACTTGATGGCACCTAATGAGGAGAGGGCAGTGCTCTCAGGAAAGTTCCCTGTCTCAACTGGCCCAATAAACGTGGACCATTTTGCTTATCCTACCCAGATCCGCCTGTTGTGCCAATGTTCAGGATGGTCAGTGGTGCCAGCTGGACACCATCTGGTTCACTGGTCTCAGGGCCAGCCCAGCCACCTCTTGGAATCCAGTCTTAGATGAACCTGTAAGCCTGTTCCACCAAAGTGACCTCCAGCCAGATATTTTCTGCTAACTCCTAAAGTGCTGGAAGGTGCCCTCGAGCTGACCAGCGCTCATAGCAAGTACATGCTCCACAGATTTGACCTGCATCCTACCCGATGCCGTCCTCACCCTCTCCGCTATTCAGTCACTGGGTCAGTCCGCCTTGTTGAGGGTCCTCTCTCTAACCCGCCTTTTCCAGCATGGTGCCTCCTGACAGCATGCCCACAGTCTGGGAGATGAAGTCTTACCATCCTCACCTCAGAGGGACACCCCGCGAGTACATCCTCCTCGAGGGACTTGCTTGTCCTGTAGGTGGCTGATGGGACATTTGGTACTCTTCTCTAACACCACCACTCACTCATTCTTGTCTGTCGTCTGTACTCATTATACAACTTCCTAGAATGATCTTCCTTTTTTACAGAGGATGGGGGAGAACCAGCCAGAGCTCTACTGGGAAGGAGGGAGGCAGCTGCCATGCACTCACCCGAGCACCTATGTTGAACCACCCCCTCTGGCCTCTGGGGAGCCCATCTAGTCCCCAAGCCCACGGCCCCTCCTGGCAAGAGGACACAGTGCCGGCCACTCTCAATTCTCTCCTGTGCTCTTACTAAGTACCTTCTCCTTCCATTCCCCAAATCGGTGTCACAATCCTTTTGCCTTTCAGCCACTTCTTCACCCACTTCTTACATAGTTAGATGACTATCCCACTAATAATGCTAATTCATTGAATATCTCTTTCTCTCTCTCATTGTCCTCAAGTCAGGACTCGCAGCAGACCCTCCAGAAGGTTGCAAATTGCATAGGAGGAGACGGTCCGCCTTTCTTTCAGGGAGGAGCTGGTGGATTCAAACCCCTTGCCTTGGTGTTGGCAACACAACTCCTTACCCACTGACCAGGAGAGCTCTTAGAACTATGAATAGTTCTCATTCATTAATGTAGTATTTCCTCTCCCATTCGGCTTACAGCTTTTTTCTCAATGGCTAGAACAGTGTTTGGTGCATAGTAGATGTTCAGATGTGTGTACTGAAGCAATGTACAAACAGAGATTGGTGAAGAGGCTGTTTTACCATAGACGCTGCCAAGTATGATGTTCTCATCTCGTGTGAGTTAGTGCGTTTGGACTTTCTCCTGTCTATGGTGGGAGCTGACCTGTGATCTGGGGAGTGAAAACAGAAATGACATAGTGTGGGATGAGGTGGTTAGGCAGGAGCCACGCATCAGCTCAGATCAAAGAGATCCTGGAGGAGGACGGCTCCTGCCCGGGAACAGCAAGGGAGTTGAGACGTTTCAGAAAAGACTGATGCCGGTCAAGACCGAGTGATTCTCAGATTTCTGGATTAATAAGTGTGTGCTTCCGACCAAAATCGAGATGAGAGGGGAAATAAAAGACTGTGTAACTGTAAATGAACTTCGGAATCTGTTGCTCTTCAGAGTTTTAAAGATGCCCGGGAAGCTAGTGGAACTGTAGCTCTTCAGTGCTCTGCATTTTCTTTTTTTTTCCTATATTTTATTAATTTTCATAAACATTTACAGAGATTTTGGGTTTCCATTCATTCATTGTTGCACTAAGTGCTCTGCATTTTCATCGTGTCCCTCCTCAAGCTCCTCTTCAAGGGCGCCCTGGAGCCGTGCTGGGAACCCAAAGGTTCAAATCCATCAGCAGCTTCTCAGGAGAAAGATGGGCAGTCTCCTCCTGAACGACTCACAGGCTCTGAAAACCCAACTGGAGGGCCAACCAGGAGAGCTGGGACTCGACTTTACCGCGTCTCCCTTTGTGTTTCCCCCTAAGAGCCTCCTTCCCGGTCCCCTGTAACCTCATTCCCGATCCTGTTCACTTTCAGACTGTTCCTGGACGCGGGATGCTCCTGGCCAGTGTTCCTCCGGGGCAGGATCTGAGGCCCCACTTGCCCCAGGTCCACCCACGATGCGAGGATGAGGAGGATGTGGAGGCATCAGAATCAGCAGGGCTGGGGAAAAGGAGGGGCTTTGCCTTAGAGTCGAATTCTTTGCAGAGTTGGGAGGGCAGCAGCGGACCCCTCCGCGGGGGAAACGTAGTCACAGCTGACACACTGTCCGGTTGTTTCCTGATGAGCCACTAGTGGATTCGAACTGCCACGGATGTCCTGATGCTTGTGATGCTTGCTCCTTTATACAGTCCGCCCCACAACCTTCGGAATCATCCATCACCAGATATGGTCAGCTGACACTTGAAAGTGAAAACCCCTGGTTTGCAGCTCCGACCGCCATATTTGTTACGGGCAGAAGGGGCGGGGCTGCGTGACCAGGCCTGCAACCATGTTTGTTAAGGGCAGAAGGCTCCCTCTAAAACAGAGACTCGAAAGTGAAAAACCCTGGATTGCAGCGTCAGGCGCCATATTAGTTACGGGCAGAAGGGACGGGGCCACGGGGCGGGCCAGTAGCCATGTTTATTAGGAGCAGAAGGCTCTGGTTACGGAACGCGAGAAGGTCCAGACCCCGGGCTGAAGCTCCCGGCAGGAGGTGGAGCGCAGCGGCCTCCGGCGGACTGGACGCGAAGTTGGTGGTCAGTTCCTGGCCCGCTGCAGATGGCCCAGGTCTCCCGCGCGGGTGGCCTGCTGCCTCCGCTCCCCAGCGCGCCGCCGCTGCGGGTGCCAGCCGGGGTCTCCGGGCAGGAGCCGCGGGAGGGCGCGCTGACCCGGGAGCTTGACGGCCGGCGGGGGCCGCTGGTGGCCGAAGTCGTCCCCTGGCCGGGCGGAGCTCCCGCAGGGCAGCGGCGCTGGGCTGGGCAGGAGCCCCCGGACCGCGGGTGGGAGGCGGC